GGGTGTAATTTCAAGTTCACTCGGCAGGGGGCGATACAGCGGTATACTGGATCCGGCGGGCGGCAGAGCCGAGAGGGAGAAGAAGAGTGGAGCAGGTGACGGGAGGGAATATTGAAGCCGGGGATCGGAGACAATCGGCCAACCACGGCGGATAAACAAAACAGAAACAGGTCCTGCAGATGACAGAGAGGGGTCAAAAAATGAAGAAATAAAATAAAAGGAAAAACCAACCAGAAGACGGGCTCGAGACAACAGGAACTGACTGGACTGGACTAGTGAAACAGTGCACGCTGACCACAACCAAACGACAACGATCTGACAAATGACAACACGAGGAGAGCGCTTTAAATAGAGGGAAAATTACGGGAAGACAGGTGAGTGAAATTGGTTTAATTGAATAATAGGGATGAGTGGGAAGATGGGAGGAGATGTGTCAAAGCAAGTATGTAATGAGAGAGCGATCAAAACACCACACGTGCTGAAATACATGTAAACAAGTGCAAAACACAAACAAACCCAGGTGATCAGACAGAGGACCTGACACTGGTGTGCCGTGTCGCGGCTTCAAGCGGGGCATCCGGTGCCTCAGTCAAAGTTAATTCAGTGTACGTGGTTATTAGTCTCGGTGTACAAGCTCGGCACTTGAAACTAGCAAACAGTTGGCTGTATATACAAAGACACAAATGATTTTGTACTCTCTGCTTGGTCTGTGTCCGAGTCGTACATGTACGGCTGAATGCTGATCCTCTCACTCCTGCTCCTTCTCTCAGTCTGCCTGTCTGTTGCAAACACAGAGCGGGGAGCGCTTGGCTCCGCCCCCTTGTTACATTTGGCGGGAAGCCGAAACTAATTTTCATGTGAAGCAACACACCCTTAAAACAGCCAGCTGTGTACACACCCTCAACATGACACTTTTTAACACATTATAATAACAAAAAATCTGAATTGTGTTTTGAACTAAACCTAAACTGGCACACTCAGAAGCACCATAATATTAATATTAAATCATAAAAAAGTGGTAAACTATGTGCCCTTTAATCTTTTAATGTCACTTTAAGCTAAATACTAGTATCGTGAAAAATATCTATTCAAATATCATGTACTGTCATCATGGCAAAGATAAAATGAATCATTTACTAGAAATGAGTTATTAAAACTATTATGTTTTAGACATGCTGAAAAAATATTTCTGTTAAACAAAAATATACAGGGGGGCTAACAATTTAGGAGGGCTAATAATTCTGACCAATTGTATATAACTATATTTTGTTTTATATTTTTTTCTTTTTTTGGGGGGTAAGAAAGGTTATCTTATGAGGAAAAAGACTTTTATTAAATCTTACATATTTTTACTTTATTTTGTTTTTATTTGGAAAAATGAAATGTTTTCATTTGTTATTTTATTTTATTTTTTATGATTTTTATTTAGTATATATTATTTTATTTTTTTGTTCGGAAAATAAAAGATGATCTTATTAGGAAATGTATTTTATTTTATTTTATTTTTTTATTTTATATTTATTTTTATTTTATTATATAAAAATATATGTTTTTATGATTTTTTTATTTGATATTTTATTTTTAATTTATTTTTTATTCTTTTATTTTATTTTGTCACTTTAAGCTAAATACTAGTATCGTGAAAAATATCTAGTCAAATATCATGTACTGTCATCATGGCAAAGATAAAATGAATAATTTATTAAAAATGAGTTATTAAAACTATTATGTTTTAGACATGCTGAAAAAATATTTCTGTTAAACAAAAATATACAGGGGGGCTAACAATATAGGAGGGCTAATAATTCTGACTTCAATTGTATATTACTATATTTTGTTTTATAATTTTTTCTTTTTTTGGGGGGTAAGAAAGGTTCTCTTATGACGAAAAAGACTTTTATTAAATCTTACATATTTTTACTTTATTTTGTTTTTATTTGGAAAAATTAAATGTTTTCATTTGTTATTTTATTTTATTTTTTATGATTTTTATTTAGTATATATTATTTTATTTTTTGTTTGTAAAATAAAAGGTGATCTTATTAGGAAATGTATTTTATTTATTTTATTTTATTTATTTTATTTTATATTTATTTTTATTTTATTATATAAAAATATATGTTTTTATGATTTTTTTATTTGATATTTTATTTTTAATTAATTTTTTATTATTTTATTTTATTTTGTCACTTTAAGCTAAATACTAGTATCGTGAAAAATATCTAGTCAAATATTATGTACATCATGGCAAAGATAAAATGAATAATTTATTAGAAATTAGTTAATAAAACTATTATGTTTTAGACATGTTGAAAAAATATTTCTGTTAAACAAAAATATACAGGGGGGCTAACATTTTAGGAGGGCTAATAATTCTGACTTTAACTGTATATTACTTTATTTTGTTTTATAATTTTTTTGGGGGGGTAAGAAAGGTTCTCTTATGAGGAAAAAGACTTTTATTAAATCTTACATATTTTTACATTATTTTGTTTTTATTTGGAAAAATTAAATGTTTTCATTTGTTATTTTATTTTATTTAATTTTTTAGAATTTTCATTTATTATATATTATTTTATTCTTTAGTTCGGAAAATAAAAGGTGATCTTATGAGGAAATGTATTTTATTTTATTTATTTTTTATTTCATTTTATATTTATTTTTATTTTATTGTATAATATATATATATATATAATATATATATATATATATATATATATATATATATATATATATATATATATATATTTTTTATTAATATAAAATATAAAATAAAATAAAAAAAAATATAAAAAGAAATAAAAAAAAAAAAAAAAAAAATATATTTCTTTATACGATCACTTTTTATTTTGCGAGCTATAGAATAAGAGAATATATAAGATATGAAAATTCTAAAAAATTAAATAAAATAAAATATCACATGAAAACATTTATTTTTTCCACATAAAAACAAAAAAATGTATAAATATGTGAGATTTTATATGAGTGTTTT